AGAGGAGCGTGGGCGTGCCTCAGGCGATATGGCCGGGAGCTGTTCGACAGACCGAAAGCGCCATTCCGACTCAAGATCCGCCTGCTCCAGGCGCAGGCGATGGAGGCACTGCTGTACGGCTGCATGACATGGTCACCACTCAGCGGCCACTATCAGACGCTGCGGTCGATACACCACCGACTGCTCCTTCGAGTTATCGGGTACAAGCGCAAGAAAGACACCTACCGGCAGCTCTCCTACGCCCAGACGCTGAAGAGGGTCGAATGCCAGAGCGTTGAAGCCACGATCCGACAACGACGCCTACTGTTCGCGGGAGCATTGGCAACGCAGCCGGACGGGCGACTCCCGAAACGACTGATGTTCGGCGAACTAACAGGGGGGGAGAAGCGACGTAGGGGGGGACAGGAACAGAACTGGGTACGAAAACCGATCCATGTTGTCTCGGAATCCCGATACCGAAAGACACGGCACCGAAGTTAAAGTGGACGGAAGCCGCCAAGGTAGAGGGGGGAGTACCCTGGCATGCGGCGGTGCTGCAGGGAGCTGAGAGGTTCATGACCTCCTGGCACGAGAAGGAAGAAGNACACCCCCCCCCAACGCTGCACCATTGCACCAACCTCCCACTAGTGATGACGTACCATTACAACGTATCGCTGGTTGGTGGCCATGTTTGTGTTTTTGCTTTTCGTTAGTGGTCACTCCACCGTGTGCCTTTTTCTGTCTCTTATTTCTTGATATTTTCAGCCTGGTCCCTTTTTGTCCTCGCTCTTTGTAATTTCATTTTCTCTTTCCTTACTGTTTCCTTTTATTTTCTTCTCTTTTTCTCTTCTTCTCTTTTTCTCTATTTTTCTGTGCCAGATTGCCTTGTCTCTGCTTGCGTTGTGAATTACCAAGATTGAACCAAGGGGGTGTACCTCTTTCTCTCCGGCCCGTGATGGTGACTCCTAGTCTCAATTGTTACCTCGCATAGCGCGCAGAGGGAGTGGAGTAATCCAGAATATCTGTCGTTGATTTATATTGACTTGCGGACCCTGCGGGGCCATTTTATTTGAGTGTTTTAGGGTAAGTTAGCCTGCGACCACGGGAATCGACCGCGTCGAGTGATGTATCAGTACGGACATACGAAGATATGGGTAGAGAGAGATCGGAACGGTTTTTAATGTGAAGACAACAACAACAGATAGATACACAAGATGGCTACCAAACTGCCTTGTTGAGCCTGTTACCCACAGGGAAGATATCGTTGTATGCTGTTTGGGAAACCGTAGACATAGAGGTAGCTTTTCGCTTACGCTATGGATTCATTGCTGATCCATCTTAGACTTATTTCTATAGATGAGATGGATTTGTTGTGTGATATAGAAAAAAAAATTGACACCGGATTTTGATGCATCTCGGTGGTGCTGTTCTTGCCAACTTTGTTTCACGTTTCAACTCTCAATATTGAGCGAGAAAAAGTGGGGGTCACGTTGTGGCAAAAATTTACCGGATGGACTCTACTGGTGCAACAAGATCTCGTTCCCTGGTTTATCGAGGATACACGTCGATGGCAGTTGTGCGTCTTGCGTGCATGCATCAGCAGATCAGGAAGTTCCACGACATAAAACCTGTTGTGCGGACTGCTGCTGCAACACCCTTGCACGTTACATCGAGAAGCCCTACGGTTCAATGTATGGTGGGTGCTACCGCTGCTTTCGTCAGCGTCAGTCGACAGCAGGCAAAATGGAAAAACGACAAACCGGTTCGTAACACCTGTGCAGCTTGTCACAGCGTGTGACAGGTATCACAGAGTGTCACCACGACAACAACGTCACACCGCGGGTTAGGGTCGGTTCAACGCCGGTGAGTCAGGGAGAAAACGCGTGTTGCTAAGCTGAGCATGAAAGACCGGAGATAGAAGCAAGCACCTGCGACAGCAGTGGGACGGTCCCAAAGTTGGCTTTCAGCGAAGCACAGACTAATCTACGGACAACTCGTTGCATTATTCGCGGAATGACCACTGCTGTCACGTACGTTGGGCGACATGCTTCGTCTTTTGTCCAAAAGCTCCCCGCTCGGATCAGGGCGGTAGTAGTACGCTGCACCCGAAAGAGAAGCCGACGCGGCGCCCGCCCCAGCCAAGCATCGTCGCCACGCCATGTCTCACTCGCACGGTAGTCTTTGCTGTGTGTGCAATGAGATGTGCTTCCCAGCCCGCATGACCCTGGTGATATGTTTGGTGGCTTACCCACTTTCACTATCCACGGAGCCCCCATCCGAGGCAGTCAAGAGTGTGAGGCATACGAATCGAACATTCTCACACAGCTCCCACTGCAGCAGCTTGCTCAGCTCTGTTCCGCTACCCCTATCCGACAACACGTACGGGTTCACTAACACGATCGAGTCCTGTGTGATTCAACCATCGTGTCACCTGCACGGTAGAGAATCCCTGCAGAAAAACATCGTCAGCAGCAGCAGAGCGGCGAATCGCAGCAGCACTTAGCAGGCAGGCACAGAGCAAGTGTCCAGCAGCGCCCTTGGAGGAGGGGGCCATCGGAGTGCTGCTAAAACAAGCCAGGCATTACAGGAGGAGCGTGCGCTTGGAGCGGTGTACGTGCGTGGGGGGCGTAGTAGCATCACGGCAGAAACTGCAAGTTTGCCACACCGCCAGCAGTCTCTCGTCCAAAGTTTTCAAAATAAACCCGAACATGAAGTTTGGCAAAAACATCGGGAGGGTTGTGGAGCTATCGGACCCGGAGTGGTCGCCATTCTGGATCAACTACAAGTTCCTCAAGAAGAAGGCCAAGGTGCGTGCGTGCCTCTTAGGGTTGGCACACAGTGAAAACATACATGCAACAGAGCGTTTCTGCAGCAGCAGAACCTGGCGCCATCACTTTCTGTTTGGTTTTTGGGTGCGCTCCGTAATATATGATGGAAATTGAAGATTTTGCCAGCAGCAACCCTTCACTTAGCGCGTGTTCACGTGACGTCTTTTCACGTCATAACCGGATCGGAGACAATGCCTTCGCCTCCTCCGATTTCCATGCTGGAAAGCCAATCTGCCGGCAACTTCGCCACGCTGGCCGTCATACTTCCAAAGCGCTCGTAACTGTATCGTTTTGTACATGCCAACGAGTCATGTCTACAATGCTGGAATACTTCGCGTCGAGAGATGCAGATTCATGAGCGTCGCGCCAGTGGGAAGGGCCGAGGACACCACAAGGCTCTGCTGCCGTATGTTACCATGATATGTAGCACATGAAGCTGTCGTTTTGAGGACATCAAGGTGGATGACTCACTTGGGAGCTTTGGGCGCGATCATGTGTGCACACCAGCTGTCTAGACGATGAACGCGATGCCCCCCGCACATATCACGAAAGGGATTGGATTCATCAGATTGGATTCATTTTGATAGAATATCAGCGGTTGAGAGATTCGCAAGATTCGTTCTAACATGTCATATCTATAGGGACGTTACATGCGTCCCAGCCCTACCCGCCCTAGGTACACTTACAGTAGGTGGCCCGATATAGTGGCATATAGTGGCCAGACAGAATTGTGCCACTATTCAGGGCAGTGCCACTATTCGATATGGTGGCACTATTGCCACTATTAGACTGTCGATAGTGGCAATAGTGCCACTATATCGAATAGAGAGCTTCGATGTTCACGCTGTACACTCATTATGCGCTGTAAAGCCGTGTATTCTGTTCCACTCCTCGTGGTTTATTTGTGTGCAGCAGTATCCGCATGAAACACATGAAATGGCCGTTGATTATCCAACGGTTACCGAGCCTTCTGTGGTCAAGACCTGTTTTTTCTGTGCAGGCAGACCACAGGAACCACGTCCAAACGAATTGTATCATAGGTGGTATATCATTTTTTTTTTGTCCGGCGGGCAGTGTAACATGGGGTTCAACACTACGTGTAGAACGCATGAAAACAGCAACGTAGAGACGCGAAACTAACTGAAACAGCCCTACAGCACTAGAAAAATCAAACACCCCCACCCCGGCGCATCAACCCAACCACCACGATGCTCTGCAACTGTAGGCGTCAGCCGACTGATTGCACTACGAGTCGGCAAACACTCTAATGTCCAACTGCCGTGCCGGTCTAGCGAATGTAGCTGCCAAGAATGCCATTTTCGCCTTGCGGAGAAAGTGCCCGGCGTCACCAATGCCACACGACTCTGCGTATTGTTCTAGAGGACCAAAAAAATCAGCCAGCTCCGCGAACGACGGCGGCGCCTTCTTCCCACCACCCCCCGCACTCTCAGAATCTTTGGCGCTGTCTAGCTCGTCGTCGTCGTCAGAAATGTTTTCGTCCTCCTTGAAAGTGTTGTTAACCTTTTCCATGAAAATCTCCTTTGCGTCTTCAGACAGAGTTTCAGCAAACTCGGGTTGCTCCTCCAACCCGGCCCATGCCTCCACGGCCTTGATGGCCGTGGGGTGAGCAGGCGCGCCCGGGGCGATGTTAAGATTCGCCAGAACCTCTACCAACTCTGAGTCCTGCACGCCCGGCCCGGACGCCGCGTCGCGGACGCCGATGCTGAGCGCGTTGAGCGTTTCCGTGAGCTCTGCCACCCCAGCGTCCTTGGCCCCGTTCACCACCCCCTTCCCCGCGTCGTTCGCAAGCTGCGCCTGGTGTTCTGCTGGAAGAGTCTCAGCTTTCACCCAGCACCTGTGAGGTATAAACGTCCGGGGGGAGGGGTAGGAGGGGAGGGTGCGAAGGGGGCGCGTCAAAATGATAATCTACTTCTTTTTGGGAGGGGGGCGCGTAGTACTACAAACTAGAGCGCAGGACTGAGCAACTCGGCAAAAAAACAGGGGTACATGCATACCTCACAAAAATCAACGAAATCAATCACCTCGCGATGGTGGTGGGCGTGACCTTGTCCCACGCCCCTTCCAGAAGCTCGGCCGCGTCCAAGAGGTGGGCCGGGTGCCCTTCCGCCAACCCCATCGTACCGGCAGCCATCTTGCGGTCCTTAGCTTGCTGACGAAGAGTGTCGACCGAAGACATGGTTGACACGCGGATGTCCAGTAGACCCTTCCGGTAGTAGCGCTTGGTGGTCTCGATGACACCCATGTCCATTGGCTGGTACTTGTAGGTGCAGTTGGGCGGGTACGTGCTCACCTCGATCTGGCCTCGAGGATCAACCAGATCGCCGTGCGACGCGCACCCGTCCATGAGAAGCAGCACCGGCTCGTGAGTCCACTTCCGGATGAATGGGATGAAAACCTCCAGCCACCACTTCTTGAAGGTTGCGCTGTCCGACCACGCATTCGCCTGAGAGAAGTAGGTGAGCGGACTCGGCGAGGACCGAAAGCAGCGCGGGTTCTTCGCCCTCCCGATGATCGCCATGGGAACCTTCGCCGTCCCGGTGGCGTTGGTGCACATGTAGGCCGACACACGGTCTTTGGCCTTCATCCCCTTCGTGCCCCTCGCCGTCTTCCGCTTCTCCGTTGTTGACAGGTACGTGCGCTTCGGCAGCAGTCTGTAGTACATGCCAGTCTCGTCCACGTTGAAGATGTTCTCCACCTTGTACTTCGAGCACGCCCGCCGGATCGCCGCCATGCCTTCGGCGGCGGCCTCGGCATCGAGGCTACCGGCCTCGCCGTGCAGCACAAAACTCGTCAAGTTGTGGCGATTCACCAAATTGCGCACCCACTTCTCGCTGGCGCCAAACATCCGCAGCCTCTCTTTGGCGTCCGCTGGAGTTGACGGCGCCGCCACCAGCTTGTCCCTGACGGCGATCCCGAACGACTCGATCGTGGCACGCGTGATAGGCAGCGGCACTCTCCGCGCTTCCTCTATCAAGGCCAGGACGTCTTTCTCCAACTGAAGAAAAATTACGAGAATAGTTGGGGACAGAAANGCCACCAGCTTGTCCCTGACGGCGATCCCGAACGACTCGATCGTGGCACGCGTGATAGGCAGCGGCACTCTCCGCGCTTCCTCTATCAAGGCCAGGACGTCTTTCTCCAACTGAAGAAAATTACGAGAATAATTGGGGACAGAAAACGGAGCACATGAGTCGCGCAGCAGTAGAGACACAGCCCGACATGTAACTACTGCTTACGAAATGCCGTGTCCGGTGAAGAGAACACTCGACCGTACACACTGTACGCATCATTCGAAGCAAGGATTGCTAGCCTCCAAAATAAATCGTCACGGGTCGCAGTATATTATTTCGTACGTGTTACACACGTTTCGCGGGTTAAAGAACTACATATATACGACGACAGTCGCAGGAGGAACAAGACCCTCAAGACACAAAACAAAACAAGACACAGCTGTGTTGGTAAAAAAAGGAGTCCTGCCTCGGGGAGCGTTATTTATTTGATTTCCGTTCTTGAAAAAAGTTTTCAACAAATTTCCAACTACACTGCTGTATATATGTAGAAGCGTACAAGTTTGTACAAATGCGCATCAATTATGCCAACCCCAGACGTGTTGCATGCTCGCTGCACAGACCAACACAAAAAAAAAAATAATCTCCTCGAACACAGATCTAATTTCAATTATCCCTCCCAAAAACACGTAACAACGACACACATACACAGCACACCTCGCGCGCAATTTTATGTACACATACAGTAGTACTGTAATAAAATTGATCAATATAAAAAACAGAGTGAACGCACCTCCGGAAAATCTCCCCTTCGCGAGCTCTTGGATGTTGTACTTCGTGCGTTGGTTGCTGCTGCCTGCTCCAGCTGCTGTCGCTTGCCCTTGATCAAGCTAATCGCGCTGGTGCTGATGCTGTAGCGGCGGGCAATCTCGGCATACGTCGTCTTCTCGTCCAAGAGCTTGAGAACCTCAAGCTGCTGGCCGAAGTTGAGCCGCGTGCGCGTCGATTTTCCCGCTTTCCCGGCTGCTTTCCCGGCTGGCTTGGTCTTTTTCGCCGCGGCGCCATCTCCGGCAAGTTCGGATTCGGGCGAGGCACGCTTAGGCTGTTTCGAGGAGCCGGGTGTCTTCTGCTTCTTGGCGATGCACGGGTTGCAGACGCGGTGTATTTCTTGGCCGCCCTCCTCCTCTGGTTCACCACATATCCCATGAAGCCTGCCACCGCAGCCAAGGCGACACTCGTGCCCATCTTTCTCTCCCAGTGGTCGGTTTGGGAGTTTACACAGTTCTTGGTCCGCGCAGACTAGCATGATACGTGTGGCGCCCACTACTGAGAGTGTGTGTGGGCAGGTGTGGTACAGCAGTATAGTGGGAGCCCACTAGTTGGAACTGCCACTATTGGGTGTGTGTGATGCCCGAAATGCCACTATTGAGAAGTGGAGGGTGTTAGCATACGTCACAAGGGCTGTTAAGGCGAACTTGCGGTAGTCAAGGTCGCCAAACACCGGTATTATGTCTTGCCGTGCCGTGGGAGCTGTGTCGTGCATGATCAACCGCCACAGCACTACTGGGTCTTGGCACAGCTTGTGTGTCGTTTTTTTTTGTGTTCCGATACAAAGTACTACCAGGTACTTCCAAGTATTACATTGTGCTCCGTTGGCGTATGTGTACGTGACGTGGAGACAACTGCATATCTTTTTGACAGCACAGGCGAGACGGGACATGTTTTGCGTACCACATGCCAACACGTGGTTTGGAGTACTACATGCCAACACGCGCGCACCGAACCTGCGCATCTGGGGGGCACCAATTTCCCCAATGTTTGCGTAGTACGTGGTTGAGCGTTGGTTTTCCGAAGCTCTCCAAACAGCGTTGCACTTTGAACTCTATTTTGATGTGATTTGATACTTTGTCGGAGAAACTCCAAGTATATCATTCATGCCCATTCGGACCGCGCACTTTGGCCGTGCGCTGATCGAGCCGGGAGAGCACAGCGAGTCCGATGCTAGAATGGCGTGTTGTCGTTGGTCAGCCGGCAGGCATGGTCATCGCAAATGAAGCCCACGCGAACAGTCCTCGGCCGTCTAATAGGCGGGTGATATACGGCGGGTAAAATTGGCTGGCACAGACGGAATAATCAATTATGTTCTATGCATGCGCATTGAGTATGGTAGGTGCCCTGTATTGGACGGGTGAATCGGTCTGGCTCATACCCGCCTTATGGAGGATCTACGACCGTATACACACACACACGCAGGGCGTCGCCGACAAGCTATCCCCGTTGTCGTCGTCTGTGGGCGTTTGGGACTAACCCAGGACAAAACACACAATCGCCAGCAGGATTGGTCCGTGTTTTTGGTCGCATCACCATTTTCGGTACTAGCCAGCCCAAGTGCAGCCACGCCGGAATTTCTGCGGAATGTTCACCATGGTCTGGAAGGCTCCGTGAACCACGAACCTATTTCTCGGCGCCCTCGAGTTCGCTGGCATACTTGAGCTTAAAGGAACACTTTTCAGAATAGTGTATCGCGGTGTCGGGACGTGCCCTCCCTCTCGCCCCCCCCCCCCCCCCCCCCCCCCCCCCCCCCCCCCCCCCCCCCCCCCCCCCCCCCCCCCCCCCCCCCCCCCCCCCCCCCCCCCCCCCCCCCCCCCCCCCCCCCCCCCCCCCCCCCCCCCCCCCCCCCCCCCCCCCCCCCCCCCCCCCCCCCCCCCCCCCCCCCCCCCCCCCCCCCCCCCCCCCCCCCCCCCCCCCCCCCCCCCCCCCCCCCCCCCCCCCCCCCCCCCCCCCCCCCCCCCCCCCCCCCCCCCCCCCCCCCCCCCCCCCCCCCCCCCCCCCCCCCCCCCCCCCCCCCCCCCCCCCCCCCCCCCCCCCCCCCCCCCCCCCCCCCCCCCCCCCCCCCCCCCCCCCCCCCCCCCCCCCCCCCCCCCCCCCCCCCCCCCCCCCCCCCCCCCCCCCCCCCCCCCCCCCCCCCCCCCCCCCCCCCCCCCCCCCCCCCCCCCCCCCCCCCCCCCCCCCCCCCCCCCCCCCCCCCCCCCCCCCCCCCCCCCCCCCCCCCCCCCCCCCCCCCCCCCCCCCCCCCCCCCCCCCCCCCCCCCCCCCCCCCCCCCCCCCCCCCCCCCCCCCCCCCCCCCCCCCCCCCCCCCCCCCCCCCCCCCCCCCCCCGTCTATCTTCCTCGCTTTCTAAACTCTGTGCATTGTGTGTGGTGGGCAGAGAACACGGTTTTATCTTTCTTTCATAACTTGTACGTAGGTGTCACGTGTTTGCTCGGTGCCCGTCGTCCCATTCACAGATGAAGACGTGATCTTGTGGTCCGCCGCCTGATTTAACCTAGATTAGCGATCGCCACTCCATGGGGCGGGCTTGGATGAACGACAGTGGCCACGAAATGCACGCCGAAAAGGACGGGCATGTGTGTTTTTGCCAAGTTTCCCGGTCCAGGACTGAAACTTGGACGGATGCCTGCCCCCAAGTCCTGCTTTGTCGTCGTTTCTATACTCGATTTGTCTGGAACATTTCCAGAACCGGTCTTCATAATACAGCACGTGACCGTTGAGTGTTTCCCCTATAAACAGGCAGTAGTGTTGGATAAGACAGTGACATTACTTCTCGCGGCTCGGTGAAGCCACCCTCTCCCGAGCAGGTAGGGGGCTCCTTGTCGACGGTGGTCATTTAATGCCCACTCGACCGAGGCAAGAGTTGAAACACATGGGAACTCCTTCCATTCTCGCGTTGTCCCTATCCTCCACCTCCTGCGCCCCCCCCCCGTCGGTAGATGTAGGTTTTAATTTGAAAGTATCCGTGCTTTTTATCCCTCTACAAGACTGACTGACGCCTTGTCTCTTCATTGGTCGACCGGTTAGCGCCGTCGATGCTATTTAAGAAAAAACGCAATTGACTCAATCCACCTCTGATATTATTTTTGGAACTGGAAGGCTCTGGAGGTACCGTCGGGAAAGCCGGAAGTATCGCCGGCCAAGCGTAGCGACCCACAGGCGATGGCGAGATCGGCGGGAGAGGTGGAGTTCTACCGATGTGAGTCGACCAACGGGCCGCATCGTGCAATGCATCGGTTGATTGCGGCTGATGTTGTTTGCAGGGGGGGTGTCTTTCCTTTTGGTTGTGATTGCCAGGCGAAACGGATGACATGTGCGCCAGCGAAAGGATCGATCCCTACGCACCAGATCCGCCTGTGAGGACCGGTTTTTGGTTGTCTTGCCAGCCCTATGTATGCTTGCCAGCGAAATCGTCGATTGGTGTATGACTGTTGTCGCCACAAAGGGGCTGCTACGACTCGCGGTCCCGTACCCTGCATTCTGACGTCTCTCCTTTTGCCTCCCTTTCCATGGCCTATCCTGCTCCACAATCCAACCCTCCTGGCTCGTTCCTGGCCCTTTGTTTCTGTGTTGATATGTTTGTTTCATGTCGCCAACTGGGTCGGTACCATCCCACCAGTGCTTCGGCAAGAGCTGCGCAAGTGCTCCGAGTTTTTCACCGGCGTGGAGCGCCAGGTGTGTGCGTGCATGTTTTTTTGTTGTGCGCTGTTTTATCTTGTGTGTGTTGTTGATTAGCATAGAACGCGCTAACCGGCTGACCATTGAAAATACGTCAGTGGTACTTAGTGCGGTTGAAAACACATGCTTCTGAAGGACACAATCTGTGTGCGTGTGCGTGTGCGTGCGCGCGCGCGCCCTTTCTTTTTTATGCACTATTTTATCAGGTGGGTGTATTCTTCTTGAGCATCGACCATCCTATCCGGCTGACCAACGAAAAAGACGTGCGTCTCGTAACGGGTCATGAGCTTGTATTTTTTTTCGTGTGTGCACTCTTTTTGCGCGTGTGGTGTGGGAGAGGGAGCGCTGACTCGTGGCGCATCTGAAGCAGCGCAACCTTGAATTCTTCAGCACTAGCAGCTGGATTCCACCACCAACACCCCCGGTGGGTTTTGGACTTGTTCGTGTCCAGGACGGACGTATAGTGATTCGGACCTCCAGCGAGGCTCTAGCGATGGTCGCTGCTGCTGTTCGTGCCAACACGGGTCGAGACCAATTGGGAACGTTTTTGCGCCGCCTCCGTGCGAACACGGCGATGCTGGGCTCTGCACCAGATCGGCCCCGGCCCGCCGTCCGATGTCTCCGTGCTCGCACGTACCCCTGATGGTACTCAACCCCACTTGGGGGTTTCTCCCGACATCTTGTCGTCGTTGTTGGCACTCTTTGCCCCCCTTTTTCATTTTCCGCTCTCTGCTTGACCCTCCTGTCGGCGTTCGTTTGCGAACGTCAAACGCCTGTTTGGTTGTTTCCTCGACATCAACGTCAACGACAAACGACAACAACAATGTAACGTTCAGTTGGAGGTGAGGCAGGCCAGGGTGAACGAGGGGTGGCGGCAGCTTCTCCTGCCCAACGTGGTGGTGGAGGGCAACCCGAACAAGAGGCTCATGGCGGCGTGCGTGAAGCTGTACAAGGACTTGCTGCTGCTGGAGAACTTCGCCATCATGAACTACTGCGGGTTCAGCAAGATCCTCAAGAAGCACGACAAGCTCACGGGGTGCGTCGTTTCTCCCGCCAGCGTTGGTTGGCGCATGCACGCAACGCGCACACACATGCGCGAGCGAGCGTACACACTCTTCTCTCACTGTCTCTCTCTCTGTTTATCTCTCTCTCTCTCTCGTCTGTCTCTCTCTCCCTCTCCCTCTTCTTTCACGAATGGCTAATGCCCCCTCCCCCTCTCTCCAAATCGAAACCAAACCAAACTGAAGGACAGGTTTAGGACTCGCGAGAGCTTCATGAAGAACGTCGTGAACAACGCCCCCTTCGTGCAGTACCCGAAGGTCATCAAGATGCTCTCCGCAGTCGAGGCGCTCTTCAAGAACATCGAGAGCCTGCCCTCGGCGAGTGCCGAGGCGGGCACGAGGGTTCCGGTAAGATAAACATATAACCACAACAACGACGAACGGGGGGGGGGGGAAGGGGGGGTTTCTTTTTATATTTTGGAATGTCCTTTTGCGGCCCCCGCGGGACGCTTCACACCGCGTCCCGGAGGGAGCCTTGCATTTTTTTTTTGGGAGGGGGGGGTAAGACATGTGCAACGACGATGGCGATTCAGAAATAGACCCTTTTTGGGTGAGTGAGTATTGAACTGATTGCTCCGAACTGCTTCAGTAGACGAGGTCATGTTAGACCCGACTGTCCACAACAGTGGTACTGTGGTGCGCTGCATGGGTGGGACTTCGATTCGTAGTCGTAGGTGCTAGGACAGCTCTGTCAGGGGTAGGAAACCATACGAGGTGTACCACCTGTCTTGCAGTTGGACACCGACGCACTGAGTTTTTCCTCGCCAGCAGCGGAATATTCACCTAACTGTCCCGGTCCCCATTTGCCGTCCCCGCACCTATCCCCCCGGGTGACCTTTTTTTTGGGGGGGGGGCACGTGCGTCAAGCAGCTTCGAGAGGAGCAGCTGTTCATAGACACGATGCTGACGATCAACACCGAGGCCTTCCGCCTGCAGCAAGCGGAAGGGGCGGACATCGGGTGAGGGGGAGGCCGCCGCCCGCGCTGTCTTTTTGTTTGTTTGCTTGGCTTGCGGGTGCTGCTTGGATCGAGGTCGCCCGCACGTGTGCTCGCTTAGCCTTGTGTGGCTACTACCTTTGCTTCACTGATGTTTGTCAAGATGCGCGTAGTGTGTGTGAGAATGCTCCTGCTGCGCTGCTTGATCCCACACGTCATTTCGTGGGTCGCCCTACCTGTGCGTGCTCGCCGTTACCTGGCTCGTGAAAAGCTCGTCGGTTCTGTCGTTTTGGCCATTTTTTTTTTTTCAACTCTGCTGGTTTGTGCTTGTTTTCCCTCTCCTTTGCTGCCACTCTTGTGTCGAGTGTGTTTGTGCATATTTTTTCTCCTAACAAGTCCCGACGTCTCGAGCGAAGAATCGACCGACCGGGACACCGACGCCGTGCCCCCGTCGTGTGCGCGGTGTGCAACCGGACCGCCGCGCGCTTGTTTTCCTTTGCCACGCTCTCTCTTTGTCAACAACCGATCGATCGAAACATCCCCCCCACCGCATCACCAATCGCCAAAGGCTCAACACGCCGGAGTTTAGCCACAAGCGCGACGGTTTCAGCGGGAAGCCTTCGGCGATGATTCCCAAGGGCCCCGTGCGCGCGACGACGACGGCGAATGCCTCCGGCGGTGGCTGCAGCGGGGGCGTAGGCGGTGCCGGCGGCTTCCCTCGCAGCAGCGGCGCCAACGCCGCCGCAGGGAGGCTGTTGCACATGGTGGCAGCGGCGGCGGCGCAAGTGGTATCGAGAGATTCTGAAGGCGGGGGGGTGCAGGGGGATTCGGCGCCAGCGGTGGCCTGCGCGGAGACTGCGGAGGCGGCGGCGGCAGCGGCACGAAAGGGCGAGGTAAGCACGTGCGTGGAGGGCATCATCCGCATATTACGTCGTGACTGTGAGGGAGGAGGCGCTTGAGTTTGCTGGGATTCGTTTTGTGGCCTGGATTATCAAAAGAGTGCGGGGATATGTTACCCGCCCTTGAATAGAACCCCGAGCGGTAGAAAAGTGTCCAACAGACCATGCACGTGTTGCGCAAAGCCAGCCCCCCCCTCCTCACAGCGCGCCCAGTGAACACGTGTTGACCAACGTGTGCCACTGCTCTCTGTTGTTCCCCCTGCACGCGCTTCCTCGCGCCCAATAGCATCTGGGCCCTCATGGTTGCCGACATTCCCGCCTGCCCTCTCGACTAACTAAACCGTGTGGTCCGTTAGAAGACCGCCTACTCAAAGAAAGATGGGTTATTACGGGAAAAAGACGAGACAGGGGGCACGCAGACCGCAACCCCAACCTAGCCAGCCGATTCTACGCTTTATCCACTACGCTTGCTTACTTTCGAAAAACCTGTGCAGACTTATGCCTTTAAAACCTGCCCGCCGGCGTAATGATTTGTCTCCAGGCGAATACGCGGTCGATACAGGGGGAGCAGCAGCGAGACGTCACCGGGCCACATACAAATCTATGCCCTGCCCCCTCTAATAAACGCCAACGGTCGAACCCCCGGTGATGTATAAAGGGCTTTTGAAGGGTGGTGGTAGGTTCATTGCCTTTGGTGACCATTCGCTGCTTCTGCTGTGTATAGGGTAAGAAGCGCGGCAAAGAGAAGGATAGCAAGAGACGGCACTGATTTCTGGTTCTCTCCCGGTTGCTTGTTGTCGCTTTATTTTGTTTTTTACATGCGTTTTGTAGGTCGGTCGAGGTTCTTAGATGTTGTGGTATTGGGTGGTCAGTGGTGAATGTGGGCGGTAGGCGCTGCGTTTTTTTGTCCCGTCTGTTTTTTGTGCGGTTTGACGTGGGTGCGTCCGGCGTGTGAAGGTGTTAACTCTCCGTTGTACGATTGCTTGCTTAGGGGGGGATCAAACGCGAGGTGGGTGGGGATTGCGCGGGTAGAGGGCGCATACTCGCGAAGGCGCAGCGTCGTTTTTGGGGGCTAGCTGCGTTGAACCAACTCTCACCGCCACGAGCCAAAAATATTACGCTTTAAATATCACGAAAGTGCTGTTCTTGAGACAGAGTGCCAGTGGACCGTTCAAGTAGAAACGTTGGGGGCTTGGTGGTCGCGTTGTTTATCTTTCCATGTTGGAGTTGTGGGGGCCCAGCCAGGGGTTCGCAGTGCTGTGCTGGTGCATCGAGATAGGTGAAACACGAAAAAAGGCTATCGCCGTGACGACGCACGTGTAGGAGCAAAGACGCTTTGTGATGAAAACAAAAAAAATGGCACGCGAGACCTCTCGTTTGCGATATGTGCATGCGCATTACCTGCTCGTGGCTGCGATGTGTGTAAGCGTAGTACGGG